CGCAGACCTATCCTGCGGGGTAGTCTTGTTGACGCAGCACCCCCCTGCGAGGATTATTGTTGACGCAGACCTATCCTGCGGGGTAGTCTTGTTGACGCAGCACCCCCTGCGAGGATTATTGTTCACGCAGACCTATCCTGCGAAGCACCTTTTTACGCTCGCGGGGCTCATGGCAGCGAGGGAGCACATTTTTACAGTCACAGGGCTCATTGGCTGTGAGGGAGCACATTTTTACAGTCACAGGGCTCATTGGCTGTGAGGGAGCACATTTTTACATACACAGGGCTCATTGGCTGTGAGGGAGCGCAAATCTTACATCGCTGGGCTCGTGGCAGCAACAGCCGTGGTCACGGAAGGTCTGGAGTTCTTGGTTTCGCAGAGCCCATCCTGCGAGGCACACTTGTTGACGCAGAGCCCATCCTGCGAAGCACACTTGTTGACGCAGAGCCCATCCTGCGAAGCACACTTGTTCACGCAGAGCCCATCCTGCGAAGCACACTTGTTCACGCAGAGCCCATCCTGCGAGGCACACTTGTTGACGCAGAGCCCATCCTGCGAGGCACACTTGTTGACGCAGAGCCCATCCTGCGAGGCACACTTGTTGACGCAGAGCCCATCCTGCGAGGCACACTTGTTGACGCAGAGCCCATCCTGCGGAGACTCTTGTTGTCGCAGATGTCCCTGCGGAGACTCTTGGTGTCGCAGATGTCCCTGCGGAGACTCTTGGTGTCGCAGATGTCCCTGCGAGGCGCTTTGTTGACGCAGGACCTAGGCTGCGGAGAACTTGGTAATGCAGCGGTCTCCTGCAGAGAACTTGTTAACGCAGCGGTCTCCTGCGAGGATTATTGTTGACGCAGACCTATCCTGCGGGGTAGTCTTGTTGACGCAGCACCCCCCTGCGAGGATTATTGTTGACGCAGACCTATCCTGCGGGGTAGTCTTGTTGACGCAGCACCCCCTGCGAGGATTATTGTTCATGCAGACCTATCCTGCGAGGTAGTCTTGTTTTCGCAGCACCTCCCTGCGAGGATTATTGTTGACGCAGACCTATCCTGCGGGGTAGTCTTGTTTTCGCAGCACCCCCCTGCGAGGATTGTTGTTCACGCAGACCTATCCTGCGGGGTAGTCTTGTTTTCGCAGCACCCCCTGCGAGGATTGTTGTTCACGCAGACCTATCCTGCGGGGTAGTCTTGTTTTCGCAGCACCCCCCTGCGAGGATTATTGTTCACGCAGACCTATCCTGCGGGGTAGTCTTGTTTTCGCAGCACCCCCCTGCGAGGATTATTGTTCACGCAGACCTATCCTGCGAGGTAGTCTTGTTTTCGCAGCACCCCCTGCGAGGATTGTTGTTGACGCAGACCTATCCTGCGGGGTAGTCTTGTTTTCGCAGCACCCCCCTGCGAGGATTGTTGTTGACGCAGACCTATCCTGCGGGGTAGTCTTGTTTTCGCAGCACCCCCTGCGAGGATTGTTGTTCACGCAGACCTATCCTGCGAAGCACCTTTTTACGCTCGCGGGGCTCATGGCAGCGAGGGAGCACAGTCTTACATCGCTGGGCTCGTGGCAGCGACAGCCGTGGTCACGGAAACTCTCGAGCCCGCAGGCAAGAGTCCCTGGGACACTACGATGCATCAAAGTGTGAGGATCAAAGTGTGAGGACCGAAGTCCTGAGTTTTTTGGGCTGGGAATCCGGCCCCTTTTATAATTTTTCGGTCAAGTCTCTACCATGGAACCATTGCGCCGAGGGTAGAGAGATCACTATCCTTTGGTTGGCGTTGAAGCAAGTCGAACGACGTTGAAACGGTGTCTGGACACCTTGTGGCCCGCAGATTCACGTTTCGACCTGGGATCATTTCTCTCAAATCTTGCGTTGAGTATGGTGAACCGCTTTCATCAACTGTTGAAAGAAAGCAACGCCGCAAAAATGTGATTCCTACATATTGTTGAGTTTGCAAATTAAATCGCTCAAGCGGTGGCACCCTACATCTGCCCGTTTAGCCACGGTCACCGTCTCTTTCATGAGGGTTGATGTGCTTCAACAGATGCCAAAATAATAGGTTGGAAAATTTCTGGTTGACAGAAACGCTGGACTGTACCTGCGGTTGGCCGGAGGATCCTTTGGTCTCGCTCGAATCAATTCTGCTCATCCTTGGCCCCGCCCCGCTGAATGTTGTTTCTTCCCTGTCTACTCGTAGCCAGCTAATGTTGCTTTTACTAGAATCTCTACTCCCTTACCGCACAGATATTGACATACTCTCAAGCTCAGGATGAGGATTGTCCTTCTTTGGGAGGGCATAAACAAAATCCCAGAGCTTATTGGAAAGTTTCCATAGGAAACCGAGCCTGGGACAACCATGTGAAATGTGCAACCAGGCCCACGAGCTAGGTTCGCGTGATCGCCACCCCCTCGCAAGATTGCAACGCTACTATCACATTGATGAGACTCTGGATACAAATAGCGCCCGACGGACCAATCAAACACAATGCGCGAATTTAGACAGACGCAGGTACGGTTCTGCGATGCAGATCCCAGCGACGACCCACGGGACACTAGTTCAAGGAGGTTCTATTTATGGCCCGGAGAAGAAGTGAAGGATTTGCAAAGGTCCAGACCGATCCACAAGCCCAAACTTGACGGCCGTCATTGTCCGATGGAAAAGGACTTTGTTGCGTAGAAGGTACGGTCCAGGCAGGTGAGGTATTTGGAATATGACGCGGAATTCTGGCAACAGAATGGTAGGCTAAATCCCGATCCGTGGTTATGCTTTCCTGGTTCCTGTCACAGGAGAGTAATTCTCCTGTCAAGTGGCAAGCTGTTTGTCTACCTGGTCTGTAGAACGTTCTAGAAGTTATATCTCCTGTCCTGCGTAAAGCTTCCCCGTAGAAATTGTACTCTCTTTGAATCCGACACAACCCCATCATCAGCCCCATTCAATCGCCAGTCCGATATCTCTAGCAGATAGCTTGTAGAAACTATGCCAATCATGGACAGAATGAGCTTATGTAAAAATATCTCCGGGTTTTGCACTAAAACCAGAAACCGATTGGCTTCCGAAAATGGGTTGAGGTTGTGGGCCGGCCCTGCTGCGGCCCCTAAACTTTATTTCAACCACCCTCCGCATCTTGATTATGACTGTAGCGAGAGAATCTTTCTAGTACAGTGTTGGTCTTTTCCAATTTCCTATATATGGGCAGACCGAGACTTTGTCGGTTCTGCCCTAGTTCTGTTTTATTTTGGGCTGTAGGAGGCTTGATCATGAGCAACTAGAAAGCAAGTGGAGCAGAAGCCTGGGCCTGAATCCTTCATGACGACCGCATTCTCTCACCGAACAGGCGATTCCATGGGTCGTCCAAACTAAGCGGTCGAATGATTTGCGGTGCCGCTAATGATCGACAGCTGCGCTCGTGATTCCACGGTCTCCGTCAAACTAATTTCCTCCTGACTTGGGTGTAGGTCAAAACAAATCGTACGCTTCACCCCAAAGATTACCCTGCTTTCGACCATCGATCCTACCAAATCCAAGCAGACGTATTACCCTGAGCCAACAAGAATGCCGTATTTCCATTTTCCCAGAGCCCCCTTGCTACCATGTCCTGTCTCCCTACGGGAACACTCATAGTATCGTAAATCCTTTTACGCTGTCCGCAGTACTTCCCGGGCCACATAACACTTCGATGAAATCCTCCTGGTTTTGCATGACAAGGATGAAAATGTGTAGGCGGGCCTGTTCCAAGGGCACCACAATCGTGCTCGAGTCCTTTGATGTTGGGACATCCTCTATACTATTGTCATTCCAAAGAAGGGCGATTGCTACTTCCTCTACGGATACATGGAATGATATACAACTACGCTTATATTCCTCATGCTGAGGCTTCATTGCTGGTCACAGCCTTTGATGTAGGAACATGCACCAGGACTTATTTATCAAGATAGTTGGCCACTGTTCTTTGGACATCGCTATGTAGCGATCCAGCTGATAAAATGCTGCTGAAGTGCACGCTCTGTTCGCCGGTATCTTAGCTTCCTAGCAGCACAGACACGATGCACATAGTCCCACCTCCAGGATGACGACCGTGTTCTTTTAGGCCGGTACGGAAGCGGTGCTGCCGTCAAGCGGTCTGTGACAAAGGGTCATCATGTATTTCAATACCCAATCTTTCATGGTCTAGAACATGGCAACCCTTGCTCTCGTTCTAGCTGCGACTGTCGAGAAAATATGAAGCATCGATTTTTGCTATCAAGCAAAGACCACGAGACTGGAAAGAGGGAACAGCAAGGCCGTAAATACAAGAAGCCGGGGAAGCCAGTACGCAAGGCACTGCAGTCCGGTTGGAACGCATACGTTGAGGTATAAGAGAGAGAAGAAGAGAAACAAACTACCAAGGCTCCTAGATGGGTAATTTCCCACGATATAAATACTTGCCCTTTTCGCCTGTATCTTCAGCGTTGCAAAGCACTGGTACCTTGAGCCACTGCGAGAACCACCAACAATCGCAATCTGTGCTCTCTGCTGATGAAGGTAATCAAAAATGATATGGAGCCGGAGGCATCATGTCGCCTGCCCCTGAATGTCCCACCGAACACCCTCCCGGCCCTATACCAGGCACGATTTATCGATACTGACCCCTTCAGGTGTGCTCTCATCTAAAATCAATAGATTGGAAAAGCGTGCTCAAATTATGGTCAACTTTTGAGTCCCGGCCCATTTTAAGGACGTTGAAGGAGGACTGGCATTTTCCAAGGCAGTCTTGAAGACTTCTGACTGGCACTCGGAAGTACTATGCATGCTCGTCAGAAACTCAACAAGGATATTAAATCAAGTCCAAAACCCTCCGTAGTAGACAGCCTCCTAGTTAAACACCATCTCCATCAATAAAAGAAGGACCGCGTCTACTGTCCATTTTAACATGATTGGCTTTGAGCTCACAACCTTGCCTGAGGTACGTGCATTTCCCAATCTACGATCGTCCTAAGGCTACTAGACCACTTATTGCCACACTCATATCTCTTTCAGAAAACCTACCTCAATCAGCTTATCTGTTGGCAGCCGGAGGTTAGCCATTTTGTTCCTCGTGTTATCCCGGATCCACAAAAAGACGTGTAGCAAGGATTTTCGGACGAGCGCTGTGTCGGGCTTGATTTTCATCTGCTCCTTCCCCACAATATAGAGCACTTTGTGTGAATATGCCGCTTCCAGATGAGCGATTTCAGTACCGACGAAGGCGTGAGCGTCTCTGCTGCCCTCCGCCATCGAGCTGCCACGGGCCACAGAATCCTTTTCCCCGCCCTCTTCGCCTAAGGGCACGCTGGGGCTACTCGACATTAGATATTTCCGGACCTGGTCGACGATCACGCTCGCCAAGTCGGGTGTGATGATCTCGTCATTATATCCGTATCGAACAACCAGCCGGTAACAATTTGGAATGGCCAAACGCGACACGGTAAATCGATTCTCAGTGGCGACTGAAGGTTGCTCGAGGGGGCGGAGATGGAAGAACACAATCACTTCGGGCAAAGAGTTGAGCTTAAGCACAAACTGGCTGAACACGATCGGAGTCGTTTCGCCCGCTTTGTCGAAGAAGATCCCAAGACCGCGGTTGACGCTAACTGGAAGGTCGTCGTATCGCTTGGACAGGGACATTTGGCCATCTGGGCTGGATACGATGAAATGTGATGTGGGGAAGCGGTCCTCAGCTTCGGCGAACCACTGCTGTTCTTTGCCGTATCGCCACAAAAGAAACAGCATTGCAAGGATTGCAGCGAGCGTGATCGTGAACCAGGCACCTTGAGGCACCTTGGTCAGTGCCGACGAGAGATAAGTACCATCCAGGCAGACCACTGTGAGCCACGGGAGGAAGACAAGGTATGGGGTGATCCGCCAGACGAACATTGCAGCCAGAGACACCATGCAGGTGTCGAAAAAAGTCACGAACATGACGCATACGCCGTACGCATTACCCAAGGATGTTGTCTGCGGGATATAGAATAAGTTTCTGCGAAATAATGGAACAGAGAAAGGAAGATACCACGACTTACGTTGTTATAAATCGATGCGATCAAGATAGTTCCAATCATCAGCAGCCAATTCGCGACGGGAATGAAGAGCTGCCCGTGGAATATCTGGGAAGTATGGATAACTTTGATCTGAGGGAAATAGGAGAGTTTCATCACTTGCGCAAGAAGCTGCCAGCATTATCAGAGTCGGACTTTCCGCAAATAAAAGGTTACAACTCTCTTACCTGGAAGGTGGCGGTAATGATGGCCTGCGATGCAACAATAGCAGCTAAAATGGCGATGATCAAGGCGGGATAGATGGTTCCAGGTGGGACCGAGTTGAAAAAGGGATTCGAATATGCTTCTGGGTGGACGCTGATGTACGCTGCCTGGCCGATGTATGCTAACAAAAGGCACGGAAACGTATAGCACAGCCAGCTGACCTGGATCGCTCTTCGGCTGAAGGCACCTAGGTCCGCAAAGAGGGCTTCCACACCCGTGAAGGCGAGCAAAGTACCACCTAGCATCCTCCATCCGTGTGTTTTGTTACGGATCAAGAATTCGAACGCGAGGCCAGGATTAAAAGCCTGGAAAACCCCGGCGTCATACTTGGCGAGGTTGTATATACCGGTCGCCGCATTGAACCCGAGCCAGATAATCACGATCGGTGAAAACGCGAAGGATAATTTCGTGATCCCCAACGGCTGAATAAAAAACAGCACGATAAGAATGGCATCAGTAACACCGATCACTGTGCCCTTGGATATGCTCGGCTGCACAACCTCAATGCCTTGAACGGCTCCAAGAACGGACTGGGCTGGAGTGAGCAGGCCATCAGCCAGCACCATAGTGACGGCCAGCACTCCGATCACTTTCAGCAGCCCTCGCGCGAACCGACTGGACTCCAGGCGCTGGCGCACCTTCTGACCCGCGCTCTCAAGGTCACCGGACAAGTACCGTTTCATCTGGACCAACGAGGCCTCCCTCGGATCACGGTGGGTGATATTCATCTGTGAGTCAGTCAGCTTTTGCGAGGGGAGAGATCGCGAGGAGCACTTGCATAGCGGCTGAGAAGGGAATAGGTACTGAAAGTGCCACCTTCGCCGTCGTTATCGGCACGAAGGATCACAAGCACATACTTGACAGTCACCATCATGAACAGACTCCAAATAATGATGGAGAGGGCGCCTATCAGGTCTTGTCGAGAGGGAGAGGACGAAAAGGTGGACGAGAAGACGTAGAGTGGACTGGTGCCAATATCGCCATAAATCACGCCCACGGATTGATATGCCAGCCATAACAGCATCTTGCCTTTGAATACCTGTTAATGGTGAGTAACATTCGCTCTCAACGGTTCCTCATGGGCGCGTTGCCTACCTGTCTCTGCTTGAAGTCGCCCGGGTTTCGCAAACCTGGGTCGTCGTCTGGCTGCTCGGCAGCCGAGATCCTGCTACTGATCCGCTCCGGTATTCTGGAGCGGGAACGGATATTGTAAATGCTCTCGTGGATTTCCTCTTGATAAGATCGGGCCATCGATTGCGAATTGGAGAAAGCCGGGCCCATAGATGATCCATCATCGCAGGACGGTGGTTGTCCCGGCTCATCTCCCGCGTACGCGGGATCTGCGATCCTGATGGTCGCCATACTGTCAGGAAACAGATAACCAATAGTCGGAGCGACGTTGAGATCGATGGCGGGATGAGATGGAAGCACGGTCAGGGTATCTTCCTGACTGGAGGCGCGTTAACGCTGCTTAAAACCAAAATCATAGTGAACTTGCTGGGGGCTTGATCAGAGCTTATCGCAGCGATCTTACTAGATGAATCAGGTAACGAATTGATTCTCCATTGTTTTGACCTCAGCCTATACGAGGCTACGAGGCTGGGGGTCTAAATGCCATGGAACAGCAACGCCACATGGCGAACTTGCACCAAAACGGTATAGTGTGGAACAGACAGCACTAGGCATGCGAGGTTATGAAGGCTTAGCAGAAAATAGGCTCCCGCGGCTGTCCTGCTGTGATAGGACCACATAAACCCCTCATACCTAGACTAGCGCTCTTCAGGAATCTGCAATCATTTTAGCGGTCAAAATAGCGACGGCCGCCCATTCGTTCACCGACAATACTTTGCTTTGATTGTACAGTGACGCAGCATATGTTTTAACACCCCTCTGAATTTTTAGATTCTGCCAGTCAAAAATTCGATTTTTCCAACGCCCTTTAACTTGTTTCTTAATGAAACACTTGGCCTTTGTGTATATTGAATTGAATTATACCTTCTATGAAAAACACCTACTGAAACAAGAATGCTTAAAAAGTAAGATATCATAAACTTGCTCTTCGTTTTACAATAGGCGGTCTCAAAAGCGGTCTGTCCAAGGGTGTTAAAACATTTGCTGTGTCACTGTAATTGCCTCAAAGTCGAAAAAAGGTTTTCTTGACTGCAGTTTAACGACGTTCCACTTGGGACCTAAGTGTGGCCAACCGTCTACTGTAATGTGGCTGAGCTCCTCAAGTCCATTCCTGTAGTTTAGAGGCGCTGGTGGAGATCACTATCATAATGCGATGGCTTACACTGAAGAATACATGGCCCTACGTTTTATCGTTGTATGAATTCGCCTGTATGAAGGGAACACTTCATAGGGATGCAAACAAGCCAAACATGAGTAACCAGAAGGTTCTCGAGAATCTGACAATGTGTCACTTCCCTCTCCCGCTCTCCGGGCCGACGTGCTTCAAGGAGTCAACTTTATGATCGATTAGCTCTGAGGAAAAGATCGGCCGATTTTTCAGTGATAGACCGGTCGGCGCTAAATACAGTGGTGTTGCCTATGTACTTGATTTCCTCTGCCACATCTTGGCGTTCCCTTTCCGCTTTAGTGCTCAGACCTTGCCGCTTTTTGCTCACTGAGTAGATCTGAGCACGCCCCTGAGCGCCCTGATCCGCTCACTTAGTATTACATAAGCGCTCTGACATGCTCACTGAGTGTCACCTGATAGTCACCTGATGTCGGAGTTGTGGATCTACAGTGACGCAGCAAATGTTTTAACACCCTTGGACAGACCGCTTTTGAGACCGCCTATTGTAAACCGAAGAGCAAGTTTATGGTATCTTACTTTTGAACATTCTTGTTTCAGTAAGTGTTTTTCATAGAAGGTATAATATAATTCAATACACAAAGGCTAAGTGTTTCATTAAGAAACAAGTTAAAGGGCGTTGGAAAAATCGAATTTTTGACTGGCAGAATCTAAAAATTCAGAGGGGTGTTAAAACATATGCTGCGTCACTTTATGTGTCAACAAAAGAGGTTCGAAATGTTACTAGTGCGCCCGAGGAATATTCAGCACCCCCTCTGCCTGATGATCGTTAAGGCTCTCAACGACCTTATTAAGCTCATTTCCTATTTATTCTGCACTTTCTATAGTATATAAAAACACACTCTCAAGTACTCAATTGGCTATGCCCGTACTAGTCCGTACTGTAACGACCACGTGCCGACAGGGACACTCCCAGTTTTCCTGGGGACACTCCTGATTATGTAACATTCGTGGTTAGCTAATTCGAAAATGTCATGTGATTGTATCTGAATTACCACAGCAACATCATTCTAAATGCCTGCAATAATGGAGTATTAAATCCCAGCTCTACGTTCCCTCTTTTCTAAGCTCCTCAAATCTCTCGGAATTTTCCAAAATGGAGCCCCCTAGGGAGCAAATCTTTGATAGCAGAGATCTACTGATTGCTTCTGTTCGTCAGCATGCTGTCTCACAAGGCTACGCGATAACAACCATACGATCAGTCACAGAGAAGTACATCTACCTTGGTTGTGACCGTGGTGGTACATATCGTGACCGGGTGAATGCACCTGAAGGAGCGAAACGAAGAACAACAACTACACGACGGATTGGCTGTCCATTCAAGCTATATGGAAAGAAGACCATAGGTGATAAATGGGAGTTACAAGTCCAAAACCCAAACCATAATCATGCCGCTGACAATAATATGATAGGGCATCCTACTGCTCGTCGGCTTACAGAGAACCAGCTTCAGAAGATCCTAGATCTATCTGAAACTGGATCAAAGCCCCGCGATATTCTAGCTCTACTCAGGAGACAGTATCATCACGTGTAACTTTTCTCTAGATCACCCGCATCGTCCCATCAGAAAAAGATTGGCGTCGTCAATGTGACCGTTCGCTCTAGACCTGTCGGTCTCCCATTTCTGGCTTTGCTCCCAGGGTCATTTAATTGATTTGCCCCACAATGCCCATTCGGGCTTTGGACGTCTGCTAGGGCGATGGCCAGTGGGCGAATCTACTTGGTCTACGATCTTGCCCTGTAACAAGACAAACTGAAGGACCCCATGTTGCAGCAGGCAACGAAGATGGATTAGTTCATTACTTCTTTCCAATGACCGCACATAACTGAAGCCCTTCCTGAGCTTATAACGTCAAGTCTTTTTTCGCCGTTGCTGAATGGAGTTGGCGGCACGCCATGCGCTCCCAGGAGCGTGCTAGATGACATTTGTGCGGGCTTCGAAGATGGGGTCTTTGCGAACCATGATGGCGGTTGGATTGGATGTATGTGAGAGAGAGAGAAAGATGGAGTTGGAGATACAGTATGAAAGAGGGTTGGAGATAGCGCATGGCAAACGTCACTGACCGCATTCAGTGCATTTTTAGCGTCGGTTTATTTTGGTTGCAGACCAGTCTACATCGGTCGAATTGCCGGTTTACTTGATTGGAATCTAGAGTCCATTCAGTGTAGAATAAGTTGTTTATAGGTTAGGCAGCAGGTTGCTTCGGCTATCACGGCTATACCTTGTCAGCACCAAATCAGTCTACAAAATTAAGTAAAAAAATAGGCAAAGTGAACCAGTCAAAATTGCTAAAAACTAGTATACAGCCAAAAACCCTCAGCGTTTGCTCAGCAGAGATAATCTGCGAGAACTCCTGGAACTCCGTGAAACTCGATGCTTTCCGTTAATACGTCGCCGACCGGATTTCAAAGTACTACACTGTTGCGACAGACCGAGAGTATCGATTGCCCAGGCCATGGTCAACAACAACCCCCAACTCGGTTGAGCCTCCGGGGCGCCAGCCGACCAGGTCGGGGAGAAATGCTCACTAACCGCTAGCTGCAATGCTCTGCCCGTCGCATCGCGAAGTGGACGCGCCAAGGCTGGGCTGCAAGCAAGTAGTCTGGTGAGCAGTCTCATCCGAAACACCGGACGACTGGACGCCTTCGAGGACGACAGACTCGGGGTCGAAATCAACCATAAAATCAAAGGGAAATGCTGATAGATATCCGCCGTCGAGAACATCAAAGGCAAACCCGTCTTCAGGGAATGAAGAATTTGGCTCAGCGGGTGAATCATCGTTGAACAGGCGGCGGAAGTCATCGTCAGAAAGAGGAGCTGCAACGTCATTTGTAGTTGAAGGTTCTTCGGAAAGGTCGAAGAGAGGGAGGGCGCTTCCAGCTCCTTCGGGACCTCCGACGGACACTGCAGGTCACACAACACCGCTGCAGGATGTTGTGTCGCGTCGGAGGCTTCAGCAAGAGTGGAAGGCTTGAGGGTGGGGGAGTAGTCGGTCACTGAGGGGGTGGGGAATGGGATTCGTTCCATGAGGAGTTCGTCGCCTTCCTGCTTGAAGAGGGTGGGCGTGAGGGTGGGAGATTCAATGGCGGGAGAGCTGGCTTTGGGAGTGGCGCTGCAAGATCCGCGGACCTCAGCGGAGAGTTGAGCCACCTGTTGACTGAGGCGGTTGTTCTCGGTCTCCATCTGTGATAGCCGCTGAATAAGGAACTGGTTCTGTTGTTCCATGCGGATCTTCTCGGTCTCAAGCTTCTCCATCTCCAGTATCTTGCGTTCGCGTGATGTTTGAGCGGTCGCGCGGTTCCGGAGGACCCGTTCTATCCGACGCTGTTCTTTCTCATCATCTGTCTTAGCGCGTTTGCTAGTTCTGTTAGTGATGATTCGCGAGTGGGCGAATGGAGGGCACACATACC